AAGGAGAACAAAATTGGAGAACTGATACTCCTCAACTTCAAGACTTACTATAAAGCTACACTAGTCAACATAGTGTGGTATTGGTGGAAAAATAAAAGACAAATAGATCAGTGAATCGGAATAGAGAGCCCAGAAATAGACCAACATAAATATGGTCAACTGATCTTTGACAGAGGAGCAAAGGCAACACAATGGAGAAAAGATGATCTTTTCAACAAATAGTGCTGTAACAATTGGACATCCACATGCAAAAAAATGAATCTAAGCACAGACCTTATGCCCTTCACAAAATTGTACTCAAAATGGACCATACATCTAAATGTAAAATATAAAACCATAAGACTCCTAAAACATAAGAGAAAACCTAGATAACTTTGAATATGGTGATGACTTTTTAGCTGCAATACCAAAGACATGATTCATGAAAGAAGTAATTGGTAAGCTGTACTTCATTAAAATTAAAAACATTGCTCTGTGAAAGACAATTTTAAGAGAATTAGAAGCCAAACCACAGACTGGGAGAAAATATTTGCAAAAGACACATCTGATAAAAGACTATTATCCAAAATATACAAAAAAAACCTCTTAAAACTCAACAAGAAAAACACAAACAACCCAATTAAAAAATGAGTGAAAGGCCGGGCGCGGTGGCTCAAGCCTGTAATCCCAGCACTTTGGGAGGCCGAGATGGGCGGATCACGAGGTCAGGAGATCGAGACCATCCTGGCTAACCCCGTGAAACCCTGTCTCTACTAAAAATACAAGAAAATTAGCCAGGTGAGGTGGCGGGCGCCTGTAGTCCCAGCTACTTGGGAGGCTGAGGCAGGAGAAGGGCGTGAAACCGGCGGGGTGGAGCTTGCAGTGAGCCGAGATCGTGCGCCACTGCACTCCAGCCTGGGGCACAGCAAGACTCCGTCTCAAAAAAAAAAAAAACAAAACAAAACAAACAAACAAAAAAATGAGTGAAAGACCTCATCAGACACCTCTCCAAAGAAGATATACAGAGAGCAAGTAGGGATATAAAAAGATATTCCTGGGCTGGGCGCAGTGGCTTACACCTGTAATCCCAGCACTTTGGGAGGCTGAGGCAGGTGAATCACCTGAGGTCAGGAGTTCAAGACTAGTCTGGCCAACATGGGGAAACCCCATTTCTACTAAAATTACAAAAATTAGCTGGGCATGTCCTATGTCAACAGGCATCAGGAAAATGGAAACTAAGACAACAATGAAATACCACTTCATGCCTATCACACTGACCAAAATCTGGACAGCACCAAATGCCGGTGACAACGTGGAGCAACTGACAGCACCAAATGCTGGTGAGAACGTGGAGCAACTCTTATTCATTGCAAGTGGGAATGCAAAATGGTACAGCCACTTTGGAAGACAGTTTGGCAGTTTCTTATAAAACTGTACATACTCTTACCATTCAGCACAACAGTCATGCTTCTTTCTATTTACCCAAAGGCATTAAAAAAAAACTTATGTTGACATAAAAACCCGCACACGGATGGTTATAGCATCTTTATTAATAATTGCCAAAACTTGGAAGCAACCAAGATGTCCTTCGGGAAATGAATAGACAAACAAACTGTGGCACAAACAGACAGTAGAATATTATTCAGCACTGAAAAGAACTATCAAGTCATGAAAAGACATGAAGGAAACTTAAATTCATATTACTAAGTCAAAGAATCCAATCTGAACAGACTACGTGCTATGTAATTTTACCTATATGACATTCTGGAAAAGGCAAAACTGTGGAGACTGTAAAAAGATTAGTGGTTGGCAGGGAATATGAATAGGTGGAACACAGAGGAGTTTGGGGGCAGTGAAAATACTCTGTATGATACTGTAACGATGTTATACATTTGTCCAAACCCACAGAATGTACAACTGAATGCTAATGTATGGATTTTTTTAGTGATAATGATGTATCAGAGTAGTTTCATTAATTCTAAAAAATGTGCCACTCTGGTGAGGGATGTTGATAATGGGGAGGCTATGCATGTGTAGGGGCAGGGTATATGTGCAAACTTTCTGTAACCTCTGTTCAGTTTTTTTGCGAACCTGAAACTCAAAAATATTTAAAGCCAAATGAAGCTAATGTACTAAGCCATGAATCAAGTTTGTGGAATAACCCCAATTAGAGGAACAATTCCAAGTGTTTTAAAAACATAGTAATTTGGGTGCGTATTTCAAGGGGCTGCATTCTAAGGATAAAAAGAACTACAAAGAAAAAAATTGTAATGTTTTAAGTAATTATATAGTTAGTGGTAATGCTGGTATTTGGTTACTGTTCAGTATGTACTGCAGGAAAGTGCAAGTGAATATTTATATTGTTGTTATTGAATATTGGGATGTTTGGCATGAAAGAAAGGAGATTCAGCTGTAAATTGATTAGGTTAAGTAAAAACTGTAGCCCTGGATTTATTTAAAGGTATTAATTTGAACCATATGAAATTGCTGTTTCTCTAGTCAAAAACCATTGAATCTTGGCAACTGAATAGGGTTCAACATAATGCCAGCATGACCCATCACTGTATTTTGTCTCTTAGAAAATCATGTATTTCCTGGTTCTGTCCTTTGAAATGTTCTAGAAACAAGAGCCAATCTCATAGCAATTTGCATGCTTCTTGATTCTTGGACCCAGATTTGAGTGACCAGTGTTACCTGGTGTGCCCAGACTTCCCAGTTTCCGCACCCAAATTTCACATCCCAGGAAACTCCTCAGTTTCAGGAAAACCAGGATGATTGGCCACCTTCACCCAGATTATGGTATCTAATTACCATTTCCCATGAAAATGAACCAGGGCCTTTGGGACAGTTGGCTGATTCCATATCTGGCGCATGGAATGCATTAAAATAAGCCTTGAATATCTTGTTTTACCGCATAACAAGAAAGTTATCAAAAAGACTTACTATGATGGTACCAACAGGACTCAGGAGCCACTCTGAAGAGGTTCCCTCTGGCCAAAAATAAGACAATTGGAACATCAATAAGAATAACAACTTCAGTAGATTGAAACACATCAATTGTGCTCAGTTCATGAGTTCATAATGGTACTAAAAACAAATTTAAAAACTCATTGGTCATCTCTAGAGAATGCTTGGGAGCTAACTCATTATTTTGAAAAAACGGTAAAGAAAGAGAAGAATCAAACACTGTTTTTCCTTTATAAACTGAACCTCAGAGTAACCACATTGTTGATGGGGGCAGTTTATCTTTATGTGAAGATTGTAGTTAGTAAAGAAGGAATGATAGACTAAACCACTCTACAAACCCTTGATGAAATTATGGCTCTAGACAATGATCTTCAATGGCATTGCCATCATGAAAAGAAAAGCAACCAGGCATTGTATGCCACCTGAGGAAAGTATACAAACACTACTGGGGGAGTATTATTGCCAAAGAAAATCTGAATTCTGCTACTAAAGAAGGGAAAATGATGTTCAGGGGCACCTATCAGTTTCTTCTCAAATCTGACCAATAGGTGACTGCCTATTTGTTCCAACACACCTGTGTTCTTAATAAAAGGAAAGTGTGATCTTATTCTTATTTATTCATTCATTTTCTCTCTCTCTTCTTCCTCTCCCTTCCTTTCCCCTCCTTTCCCATATCCATGTCACATTTGCTCTTAGTGACCCCTCCCCAGTCCTTTAGCAGTGCACTGTGTACTCTGATTTTGGATTTTCAATAGCTGGATAGAGTTTACCTCGTGAACATACCACAGTTTTTTGTGAAAACAAGGGGCTGCTGTGAAAACAACTTAGGTTATTTTTGCCTTATGGTATACTAAGTAAGGCTGCAGTAAATATCTTTGTGCCTTTTTACGGGGAGAAGAAGGGCACACCATTGGTAGTTTCCCCAGGATGACATCTTAGAAATGGAATTGTAGAGTCACAAAATGTTAATAGAGATACCAATAACATCTACTCAATAGGTTAATGACAATATATAACAGCTGTTCTTAAGTGCAACTACCCTATGAGATAAGTATATTTATTAGTCCCATGTATAGTTACCCTAGGAGAAAATGGAGGCACTGAGAGGTTAAGGCACTTGCCCAACATTGTAATGACTTAGTGAGACTATAGGCACATGACTTAGTACAATGCCTAGATGCTTCATGATAAATATTTTTAAGGCTTATTATATACAACTGCCAGAATTGCCCTACCAAACACAATGCCAAGTTCTGCTTCCACTGGCAATATGAAATGGTCAGAAACAAACCTTCTAGTGGAATATTTGCTTCTTTTATTAAATAACACAGGGTCTGGAATGTATCAAGCTTGTGCATATAAGTTTGTTTAGAAATAGTCGAATCTTGTTATTCATAGTAGTTCTACAGAGTCAAGTTAACACTGAAATAGCAAGTACTGAAGTAACGTTCCTGCGGGAAATACAGGGGTAGGTTCCTGTAAGCCTCTAGTCATAACATTTTTGTTAATGATCTGTTTATAACCTTGTTTTATGTGTGTTTTGTTTAAATAAACCTTAATATGTAGTGTTGATTTATTAACATTAAACTCATAGCCAACAGCACTATAACTCATGCCTAAGTGAAGCTTATCTAATACACCTATTTTCTCTGCAAGGCACATCGCAGCCTTCTTGCACTTAGGAACTCTTGTCAGCACTTCAACACTATACTTTGGGACCATTTAAAATAGTGAAATCACCAACAAAAAAGCGTAAAAATGCAAAATCATGGCACTAAATAGACTGCAAATAGGACACTTGTTAACAGTGTAAGAACTGAAACAAGAAGGCAGAGCTTCACTTTCTTCCACCTCTGCTGGGAATCTGCTTATTGGGTGACTCAAAAGTTTTCATCACTGTTCTTATGTCTGAGAATGACTGCTATGGGTGTTGATTTGTGGACTACAAATAAATTTCAGCAAATAAGCAAATTGCAAGGTGGAATCTGCAAATAATGAGGATCCATTTTGATCAGTTCAACTAGTTGAATTTCTTTTCTTTTCTTTTTTTATAGGTCATTCAAGACAGAGATATGGACTTATACCTGTAGCATTAGCACTAACTGTAACATGTGTTGTACTGTGTGTGCGTGGTATGTATGTTTTTTAAAACAAAATAATTTTCAAACTTGCATTGGTTTTCCAAAGGCCAGAAAATAGTTTAAGGATGAAAATAAAGTTTGAAATTTTAGATATTTGAAAAGAAACAAAAGCTCTTTTGCTTTACTTATGTGGGACTGCTGAGCATGCTAGGTTCCTCCAAAGATCCTACATTATCTCAAGGTAGAATGAATCCTTGGGCCACAGAGAGCTTTACAGGCCTGGGAACATAGCCTGGACCTGTTGCATAGTCTCCTTTTACCTGTGATCTGCTTCAAAATATAGTTAAACTTCTGGTCTTCAAGTCGGAGTTTGCTAAAGACTTCTTTAGGCTGCCACCTTTGTAATTTTCATGTCATATACCACGAATGGGGCTCCCAGGTAGGAAAGGAGTTTTGGTTGAGTGCAGTGACTTGTGTAATACAAGTAATTGCGCTTGTATTACTTCCTGAGCCTTTCTCAGTCCCCCAGCGATCTTGGGCCAGTCACACAGCTTGGAGAACTGATGACTTGGAGAATTTGTTCCCAGCCTGTTCATTCCTGGTAATGAGTAATCCCTCTCAAATCCCAAAAGACAGAGAGCAGGCTGTAAATCTGAAGAGTAGATATTCTTGATGCCAAAGCAGTTTCCATATCAGCCTTCACCAAAAAGAAATAGACCAGACAGAGAATGCCAAAAAGTAAACTTTCTACAAGTGATAGCATCTAGGACCCATTGTGTCTTGAATCAAGTTTGTAAACTAGTTTCAGTTTCCCTAGACCTGCACTGTTCAGTATAGTAGCCAATTAGCCATGTGTGATTATTTAAATATAGAATTTAAAATGAAATACCATTAAATTTAAGATTCATTCCTCAGTTGCACTAACCACCTTTCAAGTATTCAATACCTACATCTGGCTAGTGGCTACCATACTGGATAGCCCAGATAAGGAATAATCCTAACATTGCAGAAAGTTTTCTTGGTCATTGCAGACCTAGACTATTTTGGGATATCAGTGCTAAATATAATTTCCTGAAAAGAACATTTTCATATTATAAGTTGTAAATACCATGAAAATCCATCCCTAAGTAATAGATTATCAATCAGTTGACTTTCCACTAAACAGTATTATAACAATCAGCTGAAGAAAGTTTTCAGCTATTACCCGGTGCATAAAATATTTTGGGAGCTCAGATTTTTTAAAAATCTATTTTAATCCCCAAATAGCAGTATAAGAGTTAATTATGTCCTGAACAGGTTGGTTCCTAGAATCCAAAATCATTTTCCACTCAGATCTAATTGTTGTTGTAGATCTCAATTAAAGGACTAACCCAGGATGTCTGAGCCAAAGAGAGGTGGCACTGAGTTTCCATAGAACTTCAAAACAATTGGATTTAACTTAAAAAAAAAAGGTCATTCAATATACAGAAAATTACTCCCATGGTCAGTACTGTTAGCCCCAGATAATCTGAAAAAATTTGTTCTTAAAAAAAAAAAAAAAAAAAAAAATGGAGGCCAGGCATAGTGGCTCATGCCTATAATCCCAGCACATTGAGAGGTTGAGGTGGGTGCATCACTTGAGCCCAGGAGTTTGCGACTAGCCTGCACAACATGGTGAAACACTATCTCTACAAAAAAAATACAAAAATTAGCCAGGCATGGGGGTGCATGCCTGTATTCCTAGCTATTCAGGAGACTGAGGCGGGAGGGAGGCAGAGGTTGCAGTGAGCTGAGATTGTGCCACTGCACTCCAGCCTGGGTGATGGAGTGAGACTCTGTCTCAAAAAACAAACTCAGCAAGCATCTCAACCTTTAAGCAACCTTAATGTCATTAATTGGGGAAACAGTGAGATGTTTGGCATGGAACCTTCAGAAGAGGAAAGAGTTGAATGGAAACAGCTCCAGCTGCCTAGTTGTAGTTGACAGACAACTTTATAAGCTCTAGTCAACCCTGTTGACTAGGCCTCTGGACCACTAGCATACTTCTAGGGTAAGGCGAATGCCTACTGTGGGCAGGAAAGCAATGCATGCATGTGTGGGAGCATTGTCTTGATGTCTGAAATAGTACCCATGAGCTACATGTGGCTACGGAGCACTTCAAATGTGGGAGTCCAAATTATCATGGGCTGTGAGTATAAAATAATAAGTTTCTAAGACCATGTGTGAAAGAATGTAAAATATCTCATTAGAAAATGTTTATATTGAGTACATGTGGAAATAATTTTATATTTGTGACAGATTGTGTTAAATAAAATATTAAAAATTACCTTTTTCTTCTTACTTTGTAATGTGGTTACCAAAAATTTTAAATTGCTTATGTGGCTTGCATTATATTTCTGTTGGACAGCACTGGTCCAACCCATTCTAGCCTTCCCTGCATCTTCAGCCTTATGCATAAGGTAAAATTAGCTATTTTGCCAACAGTTTTTGCATTTGGTTTTCTATCATGTTCTGACCAATTTTGAATAACTCTTTGGACCAGCTCTGTAGCCAAGTTGATTTAAGCATACAGGATAGCAGGAAATCCCAGGGTGATGGGGCTCTGGCTTAGTTTTCCATATTTAGGCCTCTAATAGGCAGTCAGTAACCCCACATTTCAGCTTTTCTTTTCAGTTCTTTAATTGAGAAGACAACTTATTCATTTTTAGGTACTCGGAAATGTGGCAGAAAACCAGACAGAAGCAAGTAAGTACCCTGCAGGCTGTGCACGGTGTGCCAGAACAACAGCAGCCCTGCTGTAGATGCCCATTACTTGGGAAGCCAGATTCTACTCATCTGTTGGTTGCCTTGTACAGTAATAAGAAGTAACATCAGCAGATATACGAACCATAGTGTATTAAGTACCAACTGTGTACCATGCACTGCACTAGCCACTCTCTGCATGTCATCTCCCGGAACCCTCTCAATGAACCTTGCAGGAGGAGTATCCTACCCCTTGCTTAGAGACAGTGCACATGAGATTTATAGAAGTCAAGTGAGATATCAAGGCCACATTTCTAATAAGTGGTGGGCTGGGATTTAAATCTAAGTCTTTGGACTCCGAGAGTTATACTGTTAAGCACTACAATACACTCCCTCCACCTCCCATTCCAGGAAAAGTTGGATCAGGGATAGGGTTCACTTCAGGAGCCAGGGTCAGAGCTGAGCTTGTAGTTGCAAATAAAAGATAGGACACAAACACAATTAGCAGCAATGTTGGTTTAGTAAACTGCCATAGGATGCTCCAGGAGGCCCCCTCCTAGCAGATCCCACTGGTGGTCAGGAGGCAGAAGCACGAGCCGGGTGTTGAGGGATGAGGGGAAGAGTTAAGGCCCAGGGTGTGAAGGGCAGAAGAAGAAGTAGCAAGCCATCCTCTTTGGAGCAGCGAGTGTTGAGGCGTTAGAGAAAGATGGTGCTGGGCCGGCAGGTTGGGCCAGGCTGAGACTTTGAGAGAGGCTTTGGGTCATTTGGGGAGAACCGCAGAGTTTTCTAGCAGAACTATGCTTTAGTAAGATCACTCTGCTGGCAAAGCATGGGACGAATTAATAGGAGATGAGATGAGGACACTGGTTAGTAGAGTAATGAAATAATCCAGCCAAGCAGAGAAGAGGGGCTGAGTCGGGGTGATGGTGGCAGAACTGAATACGCAGAGCTAGGTTTGAGAGAAACAGCAGAGGTCCTGTTAGCAAAACTGTCATCTAGCAGTGTAGGCTCTGGTGCCCAACGCCCTGGTTCAGATGCCAGCTCCATTTCTCACAGGCCTTGGACAAGTCACTTAAATTCTCAGTGCTTTGGTTGTCTTCTGTGGAAAATGGGCATAATGATAATATAGAAATGACAATAATAGCATAGATAATAACAGAAATAACTGTGTCAAAATATAGTAATATAAGTAAAATGCTTACAATAGTGGCTGGCTCGTAATAGTGTTCAATAAATGTTAGCCATTATGATGATTGTTACTATTATTTTTCAAGAAAAATAAAAGTGACAGGACCAAGTGTCCCAGAGGAGTCACACAGGAATCTTGCTTGGGAAGGAAAATTGTGAATTTTTGCTTTGACAAGTTGATTTTGGGGTGCTGGTGTATTACCTGGGTGGTGATGTCCATGTACAGAATTGGAGATGTGGGTTTCAGGCTAGAGTTACAGATTGGGGCCCCTCTTCATCCGGACAGTAATTGATGCCATGAACACCTGAGGTCACTAAAAAAGAAAAACCAGATGCCCTAGGGTGATGGGAAAAAGCAGAGGAGGCAGGACTGGGGAAGCAAAGTCCAGGATCAGAGCCAGGGTACCCCCACATTAGAGACTTGAGGGAGGAGGCTACATGTTAAAGTTGCAAAGACAAGGAGGTAGGCGAGGGGTTAAGACCTTTGGTTTTGTTGAGTCAGTTGCTGTGGTCAGTGCAGGGATGAAGGGAGGATGGCTAAGCAGCAGCAAGGACCTAGGTGAGGTGGGATCAATGGATGGGCCACAAGGTGTCCTTTCTCCTCAGCTGCCAAGTGGAACAGCGCAGGAGAAACAAGCTGTGGCAGGAGGCGTGGAGGCAAGGGAGTCCAAGGGGCAGCTCAGTCAGCCACAGGCCCAAGCTGGGAGGACCCAAAGCCATGAGGGGTGGATGGGCCGGGAGGCCAGGCAGAGAGGAACCAAGTAGCTGGAGATGAGGTGAGGCAGGAGAGGTAGAGACCTCCAGGCTTGTGGTCAGAGGAGGGCATTTCAGATCTGAACAATATGCGTGAGCCCCAGTGAGAGTGCAAGAGCCAAGTCAGGTCTCTGCTGAGATCTAGGTGGTTACAGTGGAGGGGAACTCTGAGTGGTTGGGGGAGGCAAAGCCACCACCACCAATGATGGGGGTAGGGGGGCATCATCCAGGGCCATGGGGAAAGGCAGTGGGCATTCCAGAACTCATTCCTTCATCTGTTCCTTTCATCACAACAAACATTTTGGAGATTAGGCGAATCCAGGCACTGTGCGAGCTAATAGGGTGGGGTCAGAGTACCCAGCGAGGCTAGACATTGTGTGGGATTCAGAGAAAGCATATAATAGGGTTCCTCCCACAAGAAGCTTGTGGCCACACCAGGGAGAGAGAATGGATGCACGTGAGCGTAAGAAACTCTTAGAAGGACTTAGGCAGGAAGCACAGGTGATAGGCAGAATGTGTGATACGATGGTGAGGGCTGAGCAACCAATGCAGGGGAGTTGAAGAGGCCAGAATAATCAGAAAAGCTTCGGAGGGGGTAGGATGTGACCTACATTTTCAGAATGAGAGTGGAGTAGAAAAGCCTTTCCAGGTGGGATAAACAGCAGAGGCAAATACATGAGAGGGAATTAAATCTGTTGTGATTTATTTGATAGTAAGGTTGACCTGCCTGGTATCGAGTTGAACTAGAGGCAAAAGACACTGAATATTTGCAAGGAGGTCCTTAGAATGGAGTGATATGGAAATAGGCAGCCATTGTAGGTTCTTGAGCAGGAACATTTTGCATGAAAAGCACTGCTTTGGAATGAGGAGTCTAGAAAGGTAACACTGACCTCCCTAAGGTGACATTCTAGGGAGAGACCCGAGTATTTGGGGCTGAGATTGAGAGAAGAGCTTACTTTTCTTGGTATATTTTTATTTACTATTCAAATTCTGCATCATGTGTGCTTACTGCCTATTTAATAATCAATTTTAAACTTAACCCACTGTGGCAGCAGGGGGAATTCCCTAAGCTCAGTTACTAAAGGGTTATGAAGCTGGGTGTGGTAGCACACACCTGTAGTCTCAGCTACTTGGGAGGCTGAGGTGGGAGGATTACATGAGCTTAGGAGTTAGTGGGAGGATTTCTTGAGCCTAGTAGTTAGAGACCAGCCTGGGCATCCAAAAAATTAAGTTAAATTAAAATGTTAAAAGGTTCTATATATGGTGGAGATGGAGGGGATCGGGGGAGGAGATGAGAAAGGGGCAAGCATAACCAGGAACAAATGTGATATTTTCCCAGCTGCATGAGGGCAGGACCAGGAAGAACTAAACCCAATTAGGAACAACAGAGGACAGATGAGTAGATAAGCAGACACCTGACGGGGAATGACCACACCACACTTCCCACCCCGGCAGTTCAACATAGGCAATTTCTGAGTGCCCTGGTATTTTTTGTGTAAGCGTCTAGAAAACAGATCACAAAGTCAGCCAAATTAAAAAGGAAACAGGGAGTCCTATTTCTCCGAGAAGAATGATTTACAGGTGGGAATCTCAGGCAGGAGCCAAGCTGGAGAAGCAGGCTTGATTCCTTCTAGTGGGTGAGGAGACTGCTGGGAGAGGGCAGGGGAGCAGAGACCGGCAAAAAGCTGTCCCAGCAAGAATCCTGTGCCAGCCAACCTGGTTTAAAAACATTTCCCACTGTTCCCCCTCAGAAAGTCACACCACTCATTTCATGTTCTGTGAGGCCCCCAAGGAGGGAAACTTGTAGTTTGCTCTCCTTTACCCCACCCCGTGACCCCAGCACTAATTTCTCATGAATTCTTGTTACTGATGAGATACAAATGTTTGGGGAGCTCTGGCCTGGTCTGATTTTGAGCTCCATGGAAATAACGCAGACCATGGGGGAGGAGGCCAGGAAATAGACTCGGTTTAAGGGCTTGCTCAAGGATGTGGTTTTGTTTTTTGGCAGATTTACTCTGAGACAGCCAGAGATTGTTCTGTCATTGCCACAGAGGTGACTAAAGAGGAAGACAAGTTTGGGTTGGAAGAAAACCATCCCCAGGAGTTTCATGTAGCGAAGAAGGAAGTAGCTGTTAGAAATGGGTGACAGTTTACATAGGGGTCTAACAGTCTCAGCTCTGTTTTTCAGTCTTTCAGTTATACTCAGAGAGTCGGCGGGAGGAGCCTTGGGGCTGCTATTGAGTGCAGCATCCTGAAGGCTGTTCTTCAGGTGGGACTCAGACTACCATCCCAAGAGCACTCAAGGCGGTTCTTCCTCCATCCCTGCTCCCTAGCTTCCTGGCTTTGATGAGTTTATTACAAAAGGGCTATTCACATTGGAATAGGAGGGTAATTAAGACTCCTGGTCTGCAGCCCAGATTTACTGCATTTTACAAGTTAATAATATGAAAATTTTTTTTTGTAGCTCCAATTGATTGGTAACAGAAGATGAAGACAACAGCATAACTAAATTATTTTGAAAACTAAAAAGCCATCTGATTTCTCATTTGAAGAGAAATTTTTGAAAAATTTCAATTTTCGAAGAACTGTTGGAAATGTAACTTGAAGCAGCTATTTTTTTTTAAGAAGAAATACTTACAAACAAAGAACATGCATTAGTTTCAAGTGTCATCAACCTATTATATGACGGGGTGCTTGCTTTTTTGTCACTAAATTGTTTTTACTGATGATATAGAAACTTTTGTAAATAAATGTAAATATGTACATAAGTGACTAGGTGGTTTGTCTATTGTTTTCCTAAGATAGAAAAATAAGGGTCACGTACCCTTTTAAAATCTATACTCTTTCTCCCTTGCTTTAGGGGAAAAATAATTCATTATAGGGTCATTCATGGAGTGAGAGAGAAAAGTACTGTCCCTCATTGGGTTCCACTGCGGTAGGTAGGAGGCAAGTGAACACATGGGTCTTTACTTCTGCTGCTTTTGAAAAGACCAGATCACCACCATCCAGTGCAGTTGTATAACACAGGTGGGGCGGGGAGACTTCTCTCGCTGCCATTCATTAGCCTACTTAGTTTGTTGCATTGGTTAGCTGTCACACTGGGAGGTCAACGCAGACAATAGCTGGAAAACCGTAGTCATAACAAATACGGAGTGGCAACCACTCCTGAGGAGGTGGACGGTGCCAGTTGCCCCCAGCAGCCATGTCAACCCAAGTCAATACACAGACGCTTCAGCTTGTGCCTGCACTGGAATTCCTATCACATGAGAGTCTCCAGCCTGAAGGAAGAAATCAATATTTCTTGACTCCAAGATGGGCCTGTCAAGGCGGGTGGATCATGAGGTCAGGAGATCGAGACCATTCTGGCTAACATGGTGAAACCCCGACTCTACTAAAAATACAAAAAGTGAGCCGGGCGTGGTGGCGGGTGCCTGTAGTCCCAGCTACTCGGGAGGCTGAGGCAGGAGAATGGCGTGAACCCGGGAAGCGGAGCTTGCAGTGAGCTGAGATCGCACCACTGCACTCCAGCCTGCAGGACAGAATGAGACTCCATCTCAAAACAAAAAAAATAAAAAAAAACAAAAAAAAGCCCTCGGGCTACATCTGTTCTCTCTAGAACAGCCTGCATCTGAACTTCCACAGGCCTCAGCAAGAGTGGGAAAGGAGCCCTGAGTGCTTCTGGGAAGACCCGCATCTCCCCAGCTCCCCCATCTCCAGGTGGCATGGCTTCCTATCCTGTCTCAGACTAATCTTGTCAAACCCTTTATCCCAGGCCCTGTAGGAAGCCCATGACTCCCCTGGAGACTTCTGTCCCATGTAGCTCTGTATGCCCTGCTTTCTGCCCCCATCCATCAGCAGCGACATCCCTGATGTCCTCTTCTGTGAATGTCTCCTTCGCCTCGCTGTTCTAATCGAAACCCAACTCTCCCCGGGGATGCTGCCTCCCACAGCCTCTCAAGGAGTAGCTGTTTTCTTTCCTGCATCCCTTGTATTCAGGGATTGGGGGAAAAGATGTCCTCCTTGCTCTTCTCTGCCTGCAGACCAGTGCGCTTCCTCAACTTTGATGCTCATGCCAGCTAATCATCACCACCTGACATCCCTTGTTCCAGTTATCTTTGTTATTCCCCATCCCTTGGAGGTTTTAGCACTATGTCAAAGTCTTCTCTGTGACATCACTTCTTCCAGATTTTGAATGCTTTCAAAACCTACAAATCTAATAGCCTAGCATGGTCTTTTCTTCTTTTTTCAGCTAGCCACCCCATAGCCATACTCCTGTCCTATATCTGCAGCATGCCCACATAGTCTCTGTAACAAGCATCTGACTTCACTAGTCCTTACTTCATATCTTCCACGTCACTCCCTTGAGGGCTCCAACTCCAAAAATTCTTCAACCCCACTAGAGCCTACAAGCCAGTGACCTTGCTACCTGTTCCCTGGCCCTGAAACCCTTCGAGTTCTCACTCTTCCTCTTACCTGGCTTAGATTCCCATTGTTCATCATTACAATTACTCCTTTTCCTTTTCTTTTTCTTTTCTTTTCTATTCTTTTCTTTTTTTCTTTTCTTTTCTTTTCTTTTTTGAGACGGACTTTCACTCTTGTTGCCCAGGCTGGAGTGCAGTGGCGCGATCTTGGCTCACTGCAACCTCCACCTCCCAGGTTCAGCCTTCCAAGTAGCTGGGATTACAGGTGTGCGCCACCACGCCCAGCTAATTTTTTTTTTTTTGTATTGTTAGTAGAGATGGGGTTTCACCATTTTGGCCAGACTAGTCTTGAACTCCTGACCTCAGGTGATTTGCCTGCCTTGGCCTCCCAAAGTGCTGGGATTACAGGCATGAGCCACTGCGCCTGGCCTACAATTACTCCTTTACCATCACTCTTTTCCTCTCTCGCTTTGCCATTCTCATTTGGCCAAGTCCCAGCCATGGTTATAGTTATCTCTACCAGTTTCCTCTCTGCACCCAAACCGCTGGATGTACCTGGAGAAAAATTGACCACCAAGCTGATTAGTTTATCTTTAATTACTTCAAACGTTTGGCAGATTTGTAGTGTTTCTCAAATGTCTTCATTACATTGCTTTGTTGCCGTCTCTTCACTTCTCTTCCTAGATCTTCAATCCTGTGTCCTCACTCTCAACTGATCACTTTGCTTCTCAACTCTCTGGAAAAAAATAGCATTCAGAAGAGACCTCCCTCACACTTCCATCACATCTACACACCCAGCTCCCTCAGCACCACTGCACTTTGCCTCCCCTCCTCTTAATCTAGGATACACTCTCCTTGCTCCTCCTAAAACCAGTCTCTTCATTTGTATTAGTCTGTTTGGATGGTGCTGGCTATCTTAAACACATGTTTACTTCTCATAGTTCTAGAGGCTGGAAAGTCCAAGAACAAGATGCTGGCCAATTCAGTTCCTGGTGAGGGCTCTCTTCTTGGCTTCCAGATAGCCACCTTATCACCCTGTCCTCAGTTCTTTGTTTTGCAAGTGAAGAAATGGACAGAGACTTGTCTCAGGTCAGTAATAAGTGGCGGAGCCAGGATTCAACCCCAAACAGTGTGGCCCCAGAAGTCTCTTAACCACCAAGCTATAATGTAAGAAGATAAATGTGTGCAGTCAATCTTCCACATGTAGTAGGGAACCCTCCGAAAGTCTTCTCCAAGTTTTGTTTTGTGTTTGCTCCAAGAAAGAGTCTATCTTTAATTTAGGTACTCTCTAAAGAGGTCATTGGCTTTTAACCACTTACGTTGAGCATGTAGCAAATACATCGAATACTAAGCTGAACTCTGCCTTCTAGACTCTTGAGGCTAGGATGGGTCCTCAGATACCTCGTCAGACAGACAAGAAAACTTGGACTGCGATAGGGAAGGTAATTGGACCAAGGTCTTGTACCTAATTCATGGCAGGAACTCCAGTACCCTGGTCTCCACTCCAGTGCTTTTCCACAACACCAGGGTGCCTCCCCACAACCACTCCTGGTGTGGAGTGGCACCGGTTTGGGGAAGATGGCACTGGCTTCTGGGCTATGCAGCGTGAGCCCAGCTGCAGCCCAGCACCTAGTGAGGGCTTGTGGTGCTGGGCGTTTTGGGAGGCATCTCTGGGTCAGAGCGGGAGTGGTGGATAATGGCAGAAGTAAATTCAATGTGAACAAATGTGTGGATTGCCCAAACCGTCTGTGTTGATGTCTGATACCTAGAAAATGAGGTCGAGTCCTTCCTCTCTCCCCAAGCCTTTCCTCTTCTTGATCTCAACAATTCTTTTTCTTTTTCAAGATCCTTCCATGCAAAGGAAAAGCTAGTGCTCACTGGAGTAGGCCCACATGGCTTGATTTGGGGATGACTGAAAAGCACCCCCAAAGAGGCAGTCTCCCTCAGCAGGCTCCTGAAATCCCACACCTCTCACTGCTGTAGATGAAAGCAATTTAGGCTGTGAACATTACAACAGTCTGCTTGGGAAGGATGGCTCATGATACCGCTTCATCAGCATGCATCTGCTGAGAACCATTGCCCTGGCAACCCACATGTAGCCTGGAGCAAAAGAAAAATGTGGGCCTCTGTGGTACAGGTCTTGATGTATTTTCCTTTTAAAAAAATTTTTCTTTCTTTTTTCTTTTTTACTTTTAAAAAATACAAAAACAGGTTCTTGTTATGTTGCCCAGGCTAGCCTTGAATTCTAGGCTCAAGAGATACTCCTGCCTCAGCCTCCCAAAGTGCCTCGGATTCACCTGGCCTTGATGTATTTTAATTGGTTATTTTTTTTCAGAACATTGAGGTAGCATAAAAAGAAGTTGGAAAATTGAAAAGTAGGTACATTAAAACTCTATATTAAGTTTAAATATTTTACTTATACCAAACAAACAAAAGCCCCAAAATTTATTAGAATGTTACTTTCCTGGCTTTGATGGAAGAACACTCATTAGTAAAAATTTCAAAATCTACTTCCTATTTTGTTTTCAATTGAGAACACTGCCGTGTTTGAGAATTTTTTCTTGAACAAGTGAGGATTTTAAATAATTTTAAATTAACTTTAGCTTACTTGCAACTTCTTTTGGATGTGCCTTTATTTAAAAATTTGATAGTTTGTTCATCACAGATTTTTTGCACTGTGACTAAAAAAAAAATTGCATTAAAATATTATCGATCTTGATTACTGAGGTTTTTGATGTTGCCCTTACAATTTCTGCCTAAGGTAAGTATCTCATTCCACGATGAAGTCATCCATCCATCCATCCACCCATTCATTCAACACATAGTTCTTGACTGTCTACTTGGGGCTTGCATTCTACTGGATAGAGATAGACATTAACCAGGGTAAATAAACCACAGCACTAAGAGCCATAGAGAAGAATAGAACAGGGAAGGGGTGGGGAGTGTAGGAAGGGACAAGGAAAGACCTCACTGAGGGATCTTCCAGCAGAGCTGTCAGGGGGTCACAGATGGGATCCCAAGTTGGGAATTCCCAGCAGAGGCCCTGAAGTGAGAGCAGGCCCTGCACATTCACAGAGCAGTGAAGAGGCCCATGGCCCAGTCAACCCACAGGCATGTTTTATTTGGCCCTCACAGTATTAAACTTAAAAAAAAAAAATGATATGCCTTTAGATGGGCATCTCTCTCCAGTTCACAAGCTCTACTCCTCCCTATTTTCTTGCACTCATTTGTTTCCCGGCTCTGAACTCAAGCTGTGGGGATAATTGTGTGCTTTGAACATGTCCTGGGAGCAAGAGAGACACAGGACAGGAAGACAGGGCAAAGCACATCTGGTCTTAAGCTGTGTAGATT